AGTTTCGGCAGCCTAGGTTTGATTCCCATCTAAAACATTAATTTCATGGGCGGTCGTTTTTCAATTTAACGTATTTAGGATTGTAGTAAATTGCAAATTTGAATATCTGGAGACCTAATTATATGCATCTGCGATAGAATTTAGATATTCTAGTATGAGAAGTTTCGGCAGCCTAGGTTTGATTCCCATCTAAAACATTAATTTCATGGGCGGTCGTTTTTCAATTTAACGTATTTAGGATTGTAGTAAATTGCAAATTTGAATATCTGGAGACCTAATTATATGCATCTGCGATAGAATTTAGATATTCTAGTATGAGAAGAAGAAGAAAAATAAAAAAAAAACCTAATATGTAATATAAAGGTATAACTGCTTGCCATTTCTATATTATGCCTCATTTGCACATACTGACACACATGATCGAATATCTGGTTATATCAAAAATTAGAAATTTTAAAACTAATTATATATGTGAAAATAGTAGGATGAACATATGTATATATGCTAACGAAATCTAACAAAAAAAAAGAAAATAAAAGAAAAGAAACAGTACATCTGCTATAAGTAAAATAGGAAAATAAAATCATAAAAAGGTAACAGTACATAAACTACATATGCAAATTATAACCCTAAAAACTAACACCTGCATGCTGTAAGGTCAGCTGACAGTTACCTGCTCCTCAATCTCAATCTTGTGACCGCACGCAGGGCAAGCCTTGATTAAACCCGAACCCGTTAACGATTTATTAGCAATAAGAGCTGTCGTCGACGTCAAGCTCCGATCAATACTGCTGTTGCACCAAGTCATTTCATATATCCAACAGATAATTAAAGAAGAGGAAGAGAGATTGTGTACAACAGGCAAAAGGCTGGGAACGGAATGATAACTAACGAACGGACGAAGATGGCAAATAAAAAGATAAAAAAGAAAAAAAAAAGAGGGGGAAAAAGTAAAAGAGAAGGAAGCTCTCTTTGTTCCTCCTTCTGGTTCTTGAGCTTTGAGCTTTAGGCAGATGGAATTATCGGCCTTCAATCTCACAAAAGAAATTAAAAAGAGAAACCAAAGAAAAATATATAACACATTTTTTTTAAAAAAGAAAAAAAGAAAAAAAGGAAAATGTTTGGTTGCTTGAGGTGTAAGTTTGGCTTACTCCCTCTGCAGGCTTTCTATAACTGCAAATGTTTGAGGAGGGCAAAAACTAGAATTTTGGGATTTTGAGGGGAGAGAAAGATAAAACAAAAGTAGCGAATGGGTAGAGTGAGATTGGGGCAATTTGATTCGTATGAGACGTTTCACCTCACGTGAGAGGGATAGTTAGATTGGTTGATGGATAGCCCAAGCCCAACTTTGAGAAATTAATAATCATTCAAATGATTATAATTAGGAGAAAAGAGTGAAATATATATGCCTTTTAGCTCCAATGTCGCCCTAGAGTGTCTTGGACGACTTATTCATTAACAAAAACCCTAACCATACCACACCAACAAAAACAAATATAAATGAATCAATAACAAAATCAATCGAAAATCCGAAAATCTTAATTTCCTATTAATTAGTTTATGCCGTATAATCACACTTAAATAATTGTGAATCATGCGGCTAAACTAGACGCGTGAGCGTATGGATACTACCAATTAATGTGAAGATTTTATTTACCTATTTAACTTTTGTTTTAACTTTTTTACAAGTCACAGTTAATTGAATCGTTTTGAGTGTTGTGGCTTCTCAAGCAAGCCAAAACCCCTTTGTCTTTGTGTTAGTTACTCCTTACAAGGCAACGACTCATGGTCCGAAATCTACAACGCAGGATCCGGTGTGGTCATGGGTTGTACTCGATGGACAGATGTCAAATGAACAAGGGCTTACACGGGAAATAAAGGACACGTGTGCAATGGGGAGTCAGTTTGGAGGTAAACTGGTGTTACATGATTGCAGGATTGCCTGCTATTTTGGTGAGAGACGAAAGCTTTTCTGCAAGAAGAAGCATGCAAAAGGGGGACCGCGCGCATTCTATGTAGGCCTTCAGTTAGGATGAGGATATAGCGTTTTTTTTTTTTTTTTTTTTTTTTTTTTTTTTTGCTTTGTATGAAAGGGGTTGGTATTATAGACAATGAAATGTTCAAAAAGTATTAGTTTACAAACTTGAATGCCAAGCAAACGGATTATAATACTTATCTAATGCACCTTGCTTGATGAATTTGGATGTTAGTCTCTATACTTTATTTAAATATTCATGAGTTGAAAACTGTTTTTTAAATATAAATATAAGGGTTTTTTTCCTCCAGAAACCACCTTAAAAATAGAGTCACTATATATATAAACAGCCTTTGAATATCGCTTTATGTATAAATTACTTTTAAAATTGGATTCTATTTCAATCAACCGCTTCCTAGTCAAAATTTTCACCGAAAATTAAAATGTGCCCTAAAAAATTCACATTTGAAGTCACACAACGTATTTTGATAATGTTTAGGTCTCGTTGGGATAAGTAACATCACATACCTATATCAGGAATATTTTAAGCTTATTTTAGGTTTTAAAATTTTAACTGGAAGATGGTTGATTGCAACACACTAATTCACTTTAAAGGGTATATATTTTCACTGGAATTTTTCAACTCTTCAAATTTTCATTGGAATTTTTTTTCTCTATGTAATGTTAGCCGCCCATGTGAAAATTGTACTTAACTTTAAGAGGGGTCTTATAAAATCGAAGGGTATTTTCAAATAATCCCTAAACTTAAGGGGGTTTTCTGATATTTTGACAAAGGTTATTGATGGTTATCAGATAATATTTGTCCAAAGTTAACAGGTTTTTCTAAAATTTAGCCTTTATTTTATTTCCCACTTTAAAGAAATTGTAATCGTTTAAATCAACAAACATCATAATTTAAAAAAACATTCATAATTAAAATAAAATGGCTAAAGTATCAGACATTAGGTGCCAGTATCCAATCCGCACGTTACTGGCACAAACTTGAAGTCCAAGTAATTTGTTTTCCCTTTTTTCCTAACTCTGAACCTGCCTGCTAGTTTGTACTATACTATAATACAATAGTAAAATACAACTGATTATACTGAAAAAAAAAGATAAATTGTTGTACGTACACAAAGAGTAACATTTTATATGCATGCATCTAAACTCAACCTACATTTGTCAATCTCTCACCATTGATCAGAATAATCGTGCTTTCACGAACTTACCAGATATATTCAGATACTCATCTATACTTATGTGCAAATATATAAGACTCACGCAAGCTTAATGCTTAAAGGAGTAAAGAAAAAATTGGTTGCATTTTTAAGGACATAATTATGATTCTATTCTTCTCAAAGAGACTATATTTAAAATTTCTACTTATTTTATTTACGCATGTCAACTTTTCTCTTTCCTCTTTTAGAATAAAGAGTACTGTAGCTATTATATACTTGAATCCTAGCCCTGACATAATCCTATTCCTGTCGGATCGGACCTTAGCGACCTTTCCAGCTGTTAATCCCTAGATTCCCTATAAATAATCTGGGATTTTTTTCTTCAAAAAAGGCCTTTTTTGTTAAATAATTAGCAAAACCGATCGTTTTGCTAATTATTTAGCAAAAACGACATAATGCTCGAGACATATGGGACTAGTAGTCCTGTATGTTTTGTGTGCACTAATCGGCCATAAAAAACAACCAAAACATACGGGACTACTAGTCACGTATGTTTTGTTTGTGAATAACAAAACGTACGGGACTTGTAGTCCTGTACATTAAGCAGAGAGGTTTTAAGACCGCCCAACAAATTTACGGGACTACTAGTCCTGTGGATTTGCTGGGCTGAGGTAAAACATGCACATGCCTCTAGCTTCATATACACAGTATTTTTTGATGAAAATTTGCGCAAAAACATAGCATCCACATCGTATACATTGATAAAAGTTATAAATTCACAACATCACCACATAATAAATACGTCATATATATATATATATCCAAATTCTAGGAAATAAAAACCGGATAATGACACATTTAATCAATTCACAACATCACAACACAATAGTCTAAGCTAACAAATCCAAATGTATCAAGACTATCCATAATGATATATAGTCTAAGCTAACAAATCCAAATGTATCAAGTCTATCCATATGACAATATATAGTCTAAGTAGAAAAGCTAACAACCTAAAAGTTCATCCCTCCTCCGTTGTCTCCCTCTTCGCACCCGCTCAGATCGTCGCCGGCCTCCTTTGACTTGAGCTTGTATATGCTCGCTTTCCGGTTGTGTGTGGGGCTGTGACAGACCAGCTTCATCATCGTGCGTGCAAGATCTATCACGTCTTCGTCGGTGTGCATATAATCTCTCCTCATACGCCACCTGCTCACGACCTTCATGCTGGTCCTCATGAGTTTGATGAAAAGCTCTACGAACCCTCGTCACTATCCGATGCAATATCGATACTTTTACTGAATCTCCTATGGCGGAAGCTATGACCTCATTTACAATCTCCTCTATCTCGTACATAGTGCATATCTACAATTACATAAAAAGATATAATGATATATATAAAAACCAAAAGCTAACAAGAGATTGAAAACACTATTCTAATTTTCGCAATTTACTTACCCATGCTCTCTCATCTACCCCTCTCCATACATATCTTGCCTGTTAGGAGCGAATTTCAATTTCGTCGATTGGAGGCATGGTTTGAGTGATATCCAACGTCTGGTAATCTCTCAATACCATTTAATGTAATTGAATTCCTCCATCGGAGGATAAAGCTGCTCGACAATAAGTTGATGCCGATCATTCCATCTAACAATGTATGATTGATGCACAACCTGCCAGTCAATCTGATGCCCACCCTTAACGACTTTCTCTCTATTTTTTTGACATATTATGGAGCGTGCTATGCAAAACCAAATTGTCTAAGCACGCGATCCGGCATGTGCATCTCCACAATTTCAAAACAAACGAGAGGAACTCTGGCTCTCCATATACTGTGTCCCTCCATACAAATTAGCGGTAGACGAGGTAGGTAAGGCGTGTATGGCTGCCACTCTAACTGCAAAATATTCCATATATTAATAACTCTTTGAAATATATCGGTAGGTTTAAATAATTTCAATTCAATTTCGATACCTGATAAATTTTCATCCAGTCGATCTCTCCTCTGTAAAAATCTAACTGTCTTGCCGGGGTCTCATCGCATGCTTTAGTGAGATTCCATCTGCATGTATGATATAAGGTAGGTTTTCATTCAAAATTTAAAATTTAGAATTAAATATTAATTAATTAAATTTGATGCTTTTTACCTACAGCCTAGTGGTTTAGGACAGTCTCCACAGAGCGAATGTTGTTTTACAAAAATAAGACAATAAACATGAGAAGTTATTTATCATGCTAACGTATTAATTTTTAACGATGCAACTTAAGGTAATATGTAACATGTTATCCTTAACACGTAACATATTAACCATAATAACTCACATTTTAACTATTACATAAAAAATGATGATTATAACTAGTTACATGTTAGTTATAACATGTAACACGTGAACTTCAATAAGCACCATGTTAACTGTAACCTGTAATGTGTTAACTATAAATGAATCATGATAACTATAACATGTAACAAGCAACATGTTAGCTATAATTTGAAACATGCTATCCATAAGCTATAACATATAAAGTTGAGGATTTTAAGTAATAAGCTTACGCAAAAAAATAATAACACAATTCTATACTGCTTATTTATAGCGTAGTTCTCAGGCTTCTATAACCATGATCGTATTCTATCTAATAGCACCTCAGTTACCTGCCATAAAAATACAAAAATTATTCTTTCAAATCATAATGACTCGCCATAACGCGTGTTTAAAGATGCAAGTTACTTTGTCATCGACCCTTCCTCCTCGGATCAAGTAAAGGAGTTCCTTCCTCGTAATCATGCTATTCATTGTTACGATGACATCTAATTTTCTAAAAAGCATTAAAATATGGTTAGGAAGAGAGTTAACAGCTAAATGATCCAAGTTAATATCTAAAAGCTGGAATATAACATATTCTATTTGGAATAACAACTTATAGCAGAGGGTTAAAAGTTAATTCATAAAAGTTAACATCTAAACTCTAAAACATAACAAGCTACTAATAATGTTCATAATTTATACAAGAGGGTTAATAGATA